TAACGTGAGGGATGACCTGCAGTCAACGGAGGAAACCAGGATGATGGTGGCAAAGAATAAGGAGGAATCTTCTCTGGATATCACTGAAGGTGACTGAAAATGTCCTACACAACAATGATTTATATCTCATTGTCTGCTTGGTTGCTCACTTATAGGTAGCCTACCTCAGGAGAAATATGTGGGTTCTCATTGATTGCATTCTTCTGGAAATGTTGGCTGCCGAGCTCAAGAGAGCTTAGTTTGTAGAAGAGGGAAAACTAGGGGTCCACCCAGATCCCCCATCATCCCTTCTACCTTTATTTTTACAGATGGATCCAGTCATGGGAACCCACCAAAGAAATGTCCCCGTCCTCTGTATTCCCGGGACTCCACACAGGAAGGTCATACCATCCCTCACCATCATCAGGTAGATGGATCCAGTCATGGGAACCCACCAGAGAGATGTTCCCATCCTCTGTATTCCCGGGATTCAACACAGGAAGGTCACACCATCCCTCACCATCATCAGGTAGATGGATCCAGCAATGGGAACCCACCAGAGAGATGTCCCCGTGCTCTGTATTCCCGGGATTCCACACAGAAAGATCACACCGTCCCTCACCATCATCAGGTAGGTGGGAATGACCATGTAGGATCCCAGACCCTAAAAGATAAAATACATCTGTGTATAATAACATTTACATTTTAAAGATATTATGTTCTCTCATTTAGGATGAAAAAATCAATAAGGCAGAAGTTGAGGTTAAAAAGGAAGAAGAAACCTATGTGAAGGGTGATCAGCAGTATACAGAGGAGGCTGGGATGATGGACGCAGTTAAAGACGAAGAAGGATCTCCAGATAACAGCTCAGGTACATAATCATCACTAGATTCAAAAATGGTTTAAAGCCGACCTACACACCCCCAAACCACTTTGCATCTTCTCAATTTTAAAAGCTATTTTCTTTTGTCTACCTTTTGTTTGACATGAAGATTTTGTACACCATATGAAAGGTCCATCTCCGTTCCTGAATATAACGTCATGTTCCCAACAAATGAGGAGGAGATACTAGACACCATATGGGACAGTGGTTCTCAACTTTTCTAATGCCGCGACCCCTTAATACATGTTCCTCATGTTGTGGTGACCCCCAACCATAAAATTATTTTCGTTGCTACTTCATAACTGTAATTTTGCAGTGGGAGGAATAGTGCCTCATCATTGGTATCAGTGAGAGGAACAGTGCTTCATCACTGATGTCAGTGGGGAGGAATAGTGTCCCATCGTTGGTATCAGTGGGAGGAATAGTGCCCCATCGTTGGTGTCAGTGGGAGGAATAGTGCCCCATCGTTGGTGTCAGTGGGAGGAATAGTGCCCCATCGTTGGTGTCAGTGGGAGGAATAGTGCCCCATCATTGGTATCAGTGAGAGGAACAGTGCTTCATCACTGATGTCAGTGGGGAGGAATAGTGTCCCATCGTTGGTATCAGTGGGAGGAATAGTGCCCCATCGTTGGTGTCAGTGGGAGGAATAGTGCCCCCATCGTTGGTGTCAGTGGGAGGAATAGTGCCCCCATCGTTGGTGTCAGTGGGAAAATAGTGCCCCATCATTGGTATCAGTGAGAGGAACAGTGCTTCATCACTGATGTCAGTGGGGAGGAATAGTGCCCCATCGTTGGTGTCAGTGGGAGGAATAGTGCCCCATCGTTGGTATCAGTGGGAGGAATAGTGCCCCATCGTTGGTGTCAGTGGGAGGAATAGTGCCCCATCGTTGGTGTCAGTGTCAGTGGGAGGAATAGTCCCCCATCGTTGGTATCAGTGGGAGGAATAGTGCCCCATCGTTGGTATCAGTGGGAGGAATAGTGCCCCATCGTTGGTGTCAGTGGGAGGAATAGTGCCCCATCGTTGGTGTCAGTGGTAGGAATAGTGCCCCATCGTTGGTGTCAGTGGGAGGAATAGTGCCCCATCGTTGGTGTCAGTGGAGGAATAGTGCCCCATCGTTGGTGTCAGTGGGAGGAATAGTGCCCCATCGTTGGTGTCAGTGGGAGGAATAGTGCCCCATCGTTGGTGTCAGTGGGAGGAATAGTGCCCATCGTTGGTGTCAGTGGGATGAATAGTGCCCCATCGTTGGTATCAGTGGGAGGAATAGTGCCCCATCGTTGGTGTCAGTGGGAGGAATAGTGCCCCATCGTTGGTGTCAGTGGGAGGAATAGTGCCCCATCATTGGTATCAGTGGGAGGAATAGTGCCCCATCGTTGGTATCAGTGGGAGGAATAGTGCCCCATCGTTGGTGTCAGTGGGAGGAATAGTGCCCCATCATTGGTGTCAGTGGGAGGAATAGTGCCCCATCATTGGTGTCAGTGGGAGGAATAGTGCCCCATCATTGGTGTCAGTGGGAGGAATAGTGCCCATCATTGGTGTCAGTGTGGTGGAGGGGGGGAATAGTGCCCCATCATTGGGTCAGGGGGGGAATAGTGACCCATCATTGGTGTCAGTGGGGGGAGGAATAGTGACCCATCATTGGTGTCAGTGGGGGAGGAATAGTGCCCCATTCTTGGTGTCAGTGGGGGGAGGAATAGTGCCCCATCGTTGGTGTCAGTGGGGGGAGGAATAGTGCCCCATCGTTGGTGTCAGTGGGGGGAGGAATAGTGCCCCATCGTTGGTGTCAGTGGGGGGAGGAATAGTGCCCCATCGTTGGTGTCAGTGTGGGGAGGAATAGTGCCCCATCGTTGGTGTCAGTGGGGGGAGGAATAGTGCCCCATCGTTGGTGTCAGTGGGGGGAGGAATAGTGCCTCATCGTTGGTGTCAGTGGGGGGAGGAATAGTGCCCCATCGTTGGTGTCAGTGGGGGGAGGAATAGTGCCTCATCGTTGGTGTCAGTGGGGGGAGGAATAGTGCCTCATCGTTGGTGTCAGTGGGGGGAGGAATAGTGCCCCATCGTTGGTGTCAGTGGGGGGAATAGTGCCCCATCGTTGGTGTCAGTGGGGGGAATAGTGCCCCATCGTTGGTGTCAGTGGGAGGAATAGTGCCCCATCGTTGGTGTCAGTGGGGGGAGGAATAGTGCCCCATCGTTGGTGTCAGTGGGGGGAGGAATAGTGCCCCATCGTTGGTGTCAGTGGGGGGAGGAATAGTGCCCCATCGTTGGTGTCAGTGGGGGGAGGAATAGTGCCCCATCGTTGGTGTCAGTGGGGGGAGGAATAGTGCCCCATCATTGGTGTCAGTGGGGGGAGGAATAGTGCCCCCATCGTTGGTGTCAGTGGGGGGAGGAATAGTGCCCCATCATTGGTGTCAGTGGGGGGAGGAATAGTGCCCCATCGTTGGTGTCAGTGGGGGGAGGAATAGTGCCCCATCGTTGGTGTCAGTGGGGGGAGGAATAGTGCCCCATCGTTGGTGTCAGTGGGGGGAGGAATAGTGCCCCATCATTGGTGTTAGTGACACCAATGATACTTACCTTGCTGACTCCTGCCCCAGCCTGGGCTCTCTCCCTCTCCCATCTACAGTCTGCATACCTGGCTGCAGCAGCAAAATTTGCACTTACCTGTCAGCTGTCTTCCTTCTCTGGCCTCTCTCTTCACTCGCTCCTGCAGCTCCCTCGATCTTCGTTGATCTCCGCGCACTGCCGCTCGGCTCCTCCTCTCCAAGCTCCACCTCCTCGCCGGTGATTGGCCGCCTGTGTGCCTTTCCTCAGCTACAGTTCCGGTGGCCAATCAGCGGCGAGGAGTCGGAGCTGTTGAGTAATCCCGGAGGTGTGGCCAGGTGACAGGGGCAGCATATCATCCCGCCCACAGATCGCCTGAGACAGGAGCGGTGTCTCGGTTCCTAAGACCATCGGAAATATGTGTTTTCCGATGGTCTTAGGCGACCCCTGTGAAATGGTCGTTCGACCCCCAGGTTGAGAACCGCTGATATGGGAGGTCCATCTCCATTCCTCAATATAACGTCACGTTCCCAACAAATGAGGAGGAGATACTGGACACCATATGAAAGGTCCATCTCCATTCCTCAATATAACGTCATGTTCCCTACAAATGAGGAGGAGATACTGGACACCATATGAAAGGTCCATCTCCATTCCTCAATATAACGTCATGTTCCCAACAAATGAGGAGGAGATACTGGACACCATATGAAAGGTCCATCTCCATTCCTCAATATAACGTCATGTTCCCAACAAATGAGGAGGAGATACTGGACACCATATGAAAGGTCCATCTCCATTCCTCAATATAACCATGTTCCTACAAATGAGGAGGAGATACTGGACACCATATGAAAGGTCCATCTCCAACATAACGTCACGTTCCCAACAAATGAGGAGGAGATACTGGACACCATATGAAAGGTCCATCTCCATTCCTCCATATAACGTCATGTTCCCTACAAATGAGGAGGAGATACTGGACACCATATGAAAGGTCCATCTCCATTCCTCAATATAACGTCATGTTCCCAACAAATGAGGAGGAGATACTGGACACCATATGAAAGGTCCATCTCCATCATATATGACTCCTGGAAAATACTTCCAATTCTTATTTCCCTGACAGGCGGACTCTGCGCTCGGAATAGAAGAACATCGGAGGAAGATGTAAATGCAGAAGATGACGGCATCTCATGTTCTCTAGAAGTAAATCCCATCACTCATAATATACATAGCAGACCTCACCATGGGAAGAGCTCATTGGATGCGTCTGATTCTGAGGAACCTCCTAATAGGTCACCTACTTGGACTTCAGACGGCCGTCTAATATCTTACGGGACGGATGGGGGTGGAAGTTCATCTGATCTCAAGGAACCTTCTTTAACCCATAAAGGAGTTCATACAGGAGAGAGTTTATTGTCATGTTTGGAGTGCGGGAAATGTTTTACTCAGAAGGCACATCTTCTAAATCAGAAGTTCTAAAACCATTTTCCCAGAAGTTTTCAACATCACACCAGAGATATCACACAAGTAAACGTCCTTTCTCATGTCCAGAGTGCAGGAAACGCTTTCATGGAAAAAGTGGACTTCTTATACACCTGAGAATTCACACGGGTGAGCGACCTTTCTCATGTTCAGAGTGCGGGAAATGTTTCACTCGAAAAGGAGGCCTTCTTATACACCAGAGAAATCACACAGGTGACCACCCCATTTCATGTTCTGAGTGCGGGAAATCTTTTACTTATGAAAGTTGTCTTCTTAGACATCAGAATGTTCACACAGGCGAGCGCCCCTATCCATGTTCAGAGTGCGGGAAATGTTTTACTAACAAGCAAGGCCTTCTTCGACACCAGAGAATTCACACAGGTGTGCGTCCTTTTTCATGTTCTGAGTGCGGGAAATGTTTTTCTAGGAAATGCATACTTCTTACACATCAGAACGTTCACAAAGGCGAGCGTCCCTATTCATGTTCAGAGTGCGGGAAACGTTTCAATCAGAAAGAAGGCCTTCTTGTACACCAGAGGATTCACACAGGCAAGCGTCCTTTTTCATGCTCTGTGGGAAATGTTTTTCCGACAGAAGGATACTTTTTGAACATCAGAACATCAGCGTCCCCATTCGTGTACAGTATGCGGGAAATGTTACACCCAGAAAAAAGGCCTTCTTAGCCATCAGAGGGTACACACGGGTGAGCGCCCATATTCATGTACAGAGTGCGGGAAATGTTTTCGTGAGAAAGGAAGCCTTCTTAAGCACCAAAGAATTCATACAGGGGAGCGCCCTTTTTCGTGTTCTGAGTGCGGGAAATGTTTTTACTCGGAAAGAATACCTTCTTCACCACCAGGGTATCCACACAGGTGAGCTTCCTTTTTCATGTTCTGAGTGCGGGAAGTGTTTTTCAACGAAATGGATACTTCTTAGACATCAGAAAGTTCATGCAGGCGAGAGTCCCTATTCATGTTCAGAGTGCGGGGAATCTTTCATTGACAAAGGAGAGATTTCTAAACATCAGAGAATTCACAAGGGTGTGCATCCTTATTCATGTTCAGAGTGCAGGAAATGTTTCCAAAAGAAGGATGATCTTCTTAAACATCAGAGAGTTCACACAGGTGAGCGGCCTTTCTCATGTTTAAGGTGCGGGAAATGTTTTACTCAAAAGGAAACCCTTCTTCAGCATGAGAGAGTTCACACAGGTGAGCGCCCTTTCTCATGTTCTGAGTGCGGGAAATGTTTTACTCAGAAACGGATACTTCGGAGGCACGAGAAAGTTCACACCGGCGAGCGTCCCTATTCATGTTCAGAGTGCGGGAAGTGTTGCATTCTGAAAGTACAACTACTGAAACATCAGAGAATTCACACGGGTGAGCGACCTTTCTCGTGTTCAGAGTGCGGGAAACGTTTTCCACGAAAAGAAACCCTTCTTCACCACGAGAGAGTTCACACAGGTGAGCGCCCTTTCTCATGCTCTGAGTGCAGGAAATCCTTTTCTCAAAAACAGTCACTTCAGAGACACAAGACAGTTCACACAAGCGAGCATTGCTATTCGTGTTCAGAGTGCGGGAAATGTATGTCACTAAGAAAGGATACCTTGTTGCACACCAAAGAGTTCACACTGGTTAGCGTCCTTTTTCATGGTCTGAGTGCAGGAAATATTTCACTAAGAAAAAACTGCATCCGGCTGCCAATAAAACTTAGGCGGGGCAATGGGGGGGTGGTAAATTCATGACTCTACTTTTACCCCACCCCCACTCTAACCCCTAAGAACACACATAGAGCAATCAGATTTTTCATCACAGGTGTAATGACAGTATAAAGTTTTGCAGCAGACACAAAGTGCATGTGTACAACCCCATCCGGCTGCCATTAAAGCTTAAGGGGGTGGTAAAACCACGACTTTACTGCCAACTTATTCCGCTCCCCCCCACGCAATACTTGGGTAATCATGGGGCAACAACTGGGCATTCATGACAATACATGGGGCAACAAGTGGGCAATCAGGACAATACATGGGGCAACGAGGGCAATCATGACAATACATGGGGCAACAGAGGGCAATCATGACAATACATGGGGCAACAGGTGGGCATTCATAGCAATACATGGGGCAACAAGAGGGCAATCATGACAATACATGGGGCAACAAGTGGGCATTCATAACACTACATGAGGCAACAAGTGGGCAAATATAACAATACATGGGACAACAAGTGGGCAATCATGACAATAAATGGGGCAACAGGTGGGCATTCATAGCAATACACGGGGCAACAAGAGGGCAATCATGACAATACATGGGGCAACAAGTGGGTATTCATAACACTACATGAGGCAACAAGTGTGCAAATATAACAATACACGGGACAACAAGTGGCAATCATGACAATACATGGGGCAACAAGTGGGTCATCATAGCAACACAGGGGATAGGAGTTGAAGGGACAACTGGGGCCCGGCCTCCTAATTCTTTTTGTTCTTCTATAATATGTATATAGATCTAGCCTATTGGGTGGAAAAAAAGATCACCATAGAATGCATTAACCCAGAGCAGCCAATCAGGATTCATCTTTCACCGGTGCCGGATGTCATAGCTTCTTTTTTGGTTCATTGAAGTAGCCGGCTTTTCATTGGTCCAGACAATGTGTGATTATTATTACATGTGACATACTTGTTAATCCTGTTATATAAAAGATCTGATCTGGGTTCAACCTTCATGTACGGCTTGGTAGTCACTTCTCTCGATCTTGTCAAATAAACAGGAACGCTCTACACAATATTCTGTCCGGAGTTGTCTTTTCTAGCAATGACCATAATGATCTCTGGTGACCGGTGATTGGAGTGCGATCGGTTCATAGAGAGTCCTCCATCGGAGAATCCAGAAGGTCCAGTTCCAGTGGGGTATCTAATGCAGGCCATAGACGGGGAGAAAAACGACAGATTTTTCTTTTAAAAAACGAAAAATTGGTCGTTCAAGCGGCCGACGTTACCATCAATGGTAAAAAAAATCGGCCGATTTTCATCCCGTCTACAGCCGGCAAAAAGTGTCCCTGCAGAGAGCTCCGCTATTTCTTTGACAGTTCTTTGACAGTTCCTTGACATTTACAGCGGTTGCAACATTGTATCTATTTGTTTCCATTTAGGATACAGATGTTTTTATTCGGAAACAAATAGATACAATGTTGCAACCGCTGTAAATGTCAAGGAACTGTCAAAGAACTGTCAAAGAAATAGCGTAGCTCTCTGCAGGGACACCTTTTGCTGGACTGGAATTCCTCTTATTTTTCATCCTACTTCTTCTTATTTTTCTTCTTCTTCATCATTCCATCTCTTCTTCTTCTTCTTCATCATCATCCTCCTCTTCTTCATCATCATCCTCCCTCTTCTTCATCATCATCCTCTTCTTCATCATCATCATCCTCTTCATCATCATCCTCTTCTTCATCATCATCATCCTCTTCATCATCATCATCCTCTTCATCATCATCATCATCATCCTCTTCTTCTTCTTCATCACCATCCTCTTCTTCTTCATCATCCTCTTCTTCTTCATCATCATCATCATCCTCATCTTCTTCATGATCATCGTCCTTTTCTTCTTCATCATCATCCTTTTTCTTCTTCTTCTTTTTCTTTTTCTTCTTTTTTGTCTTCCTCTTGCAGGTCACTGCTCATGCGCGCAGATTTTTTATCGGTAAAAAATCGGCCGATTTGCCCATATTGCCACGAAAATCGGCCAATCGGCAAAATCAGCCGGTTTTTTTCCCAACTTTACCGATAAAAAAATCTGCCAAATACCGAAAAAACGGCTGAAGAAATAGCCCACTAACCACTCTAACGTCCCGAAAAATCGCCGATTTTTTTTTCGGCCGAAAAATCTGCCAATTTTCGACCCATCTATGGCCTGCATAAGGGTACATGGATCCACCACAAACACCACATAGAACAGCGGTTCTCAACCTGGGGGTCGCGACCCCTTTGGGGGTTCGAACGACGCTTCCACAGGGGTCGCCTAAGACCATCGGAAAACACATATTTCCGATGGTCTTAGGAACCGAGACACCGCTCCTCGCCGCCGCCGCCGCCACCGCCGTCTCCAGGTGTGGGCGGGATGACATGCCGCCCCTGTCATCTGGACACACCTCGAGATCAATCCTCGCCTGTGATTGGCCGCCGGCACTGTAGCTCAGGAGAGGCACACAGGCGGCCAATCACCGGCAAGGAGGTGGAGCTTGGAGAGGAGGAGCCGAGCGGCACCGCGAAGATCGAGCGAGTGAAGAGGAGGAGAGCGGCCGGAGAAGGAAGACATCTGACAGGTAAGTGTCGGTACCATGGGAGAGGGAGGGAGCGAGCGAGCCCAGGCTGGTCTGCAGGGGTCTGCAAGGTAAGTATCATTGGTGTCAATGTGGGAATAGTGCCCCACCCACATGGGTTGTCCCACTAATACCAATGATGGGGCACTATTCCTCCCCCAAATGAGCACCAACCACTCCCCCACTGTACACCAACGATGGGGCACTATTCCTCCCCACTGACTGACATACACCAAGGATGGGGGAGAGGGGGCACTATTCCTCCCCCAAATGACACCAACGATGGGGCACTATTCCTCCCCCCACTGACACCAAGGATGGGGCACTATTTCCTCCCCCCACTGACACCAACGATGGGGCACATTCCTCCCCCACTGACACCAAGGATGGGGCACTATTCCTCCCCCCACTGACACCAAGGATGGGGCACTATTCCTCCCCCCACTGACACCAAGGATGGGGCACTATTCCTCCCCCCACTGACACCAAGGATGGGGCACTATTCCTCCCCCCACTGACACCAAGGATGGGGCACTATTCCTCCCCCCCACTGACACCAAGGATGGGGCACTATTCCTCCCCCCACTGACACCTATGATGGGGCACTATTCCCCCCCACTGACACCTATGATGGGGCACTATTCCCCCCACTGACACCAATGATGGGGCACTATTTCCCCCACTGACACCTATGATGGGGCACTATTCCTCCCCCCACTGACATTAATGATGGGGCACTATTCCTCCTCCTGACCCACTGACACCAATGATGGGGCACTATTCCAACCCCCCACTGACAGCAATGATGGGGCACTACTATTCCACTATTCCTCCCACTGACACCGATGATGGGGCACTATTCCTCCCACTGACGCACGATGATGGGGCACTATTCCTCCCACTGACACCGATGATGGGGCACTATTCCTCCCACTGATACCGATGATGGGGCACTATTCCTCACACTGACACCGATGACGGGGCACTATTCCTCACACTGATACCGATGACGAGGCACTATTCCTCCCCACTGACACCAATGATGGGGCACTATTCCTCCCACTGACACCAATGATGGGGCACTATTCCCCCCCACTGATACCAATGATCGGGGCACTATTCCTCCCACTGAACACCAATGATGGGGGCACTATTCCTCCCACTGATACCAATGACCTATGGGGCACTATTCCCCCCACTGACACCAATGATGGGGCACTATTCCTCCCCCACTGATACCAATGATGGGGCACTATTCCTCCCACTGATACTATGACGTGGACAATGATGGGGCACTATTCCTCCCACTGATACCAATGATGGCACTATTCCTCACTATTCCTCACTGACACTGACACCAATGATGGGGCACTATTCCTCCCACTGATACCAATGATGACGGGGCACTATTCCTCCCACTGACACCAATGACGGGCACTATATTCCTCCCACTGACACTATTCCCCCCCACTGAGTTACCAATGACTTGGGACTATTGACACCAATGACGGGGCACTATTCCTCCCACTGATACCAATGATGGGACACTATTCCTCCCACTGACACCAATGATGGGGCACTATTCCTCCCCACTGACACAATGATGGGGCACTATTCCTCCCACTGATACCAATGATGAGGCACTATTCCTGATGGGCACTATTCCTCCCACTGACACCAATGACGGGACACTATTCCTCACATGACACCAATGATGGGCCTATTCCTCCCACTGATACCAATGACGGGGCACTATTCCTCCCACTGACACCAATGATGGGGCACTATTCCTCCCACTGACACCAATGATGGGGCACTATTCCTCCCCACTGACACCAATGATGGGGCACTATTCCTCCCACTGACACCAATGATGGGGCACTATTCCTCCCACTGACACCAATGATGTGGGGCACTATTCCTCCCACTGACACCAATGATGGGGCACTATTCCTCCTCCCACTGACACCAATGATCCACTGGGGCACTATTCCTCCCACTGACACCAATGACGGGGCACTATTCCTCCCACTGACACCAATGACGGGGCACTATTCCTCCCACTGACACCAATGAAGGGGGCACTATTCCTCCCACTGACACCAATGACGGGGCACTATTCCTCCCACTGATACCAATGATGGGGCACTATTCCTCCCAATGACACCAATGACGTGGCTCTATTTCCTCCTACTGCAAAATTACAGTTATGAAGTAGCAAC